TAATCCAGCGCGTGGTAATTCTACGCGTAGCAATGCAACGTGTGGTAATCCAACGCATAGTAATCCAACGCGTAGTAATTCAACGCGTAGTAACCCAACGTACGGATATCCAACGTGTAGTAATTCAGCGCGTGGATATTCAACGCGTAGTAATCCAACGCGCAGTAATGCAACGCGTGGTAATTCTACGCGTAGGAATCTAACGCGTGGTAATCTAGCGCGTAGTTAATCAACGCGTAGTAATCCAGCGCGTGGTAATCTAACGCGGACCACTACACTAGTTGTGAGACACCCTGTATAATTGATTTAATTGAAGTACCTCTGATAAGGGGGGCGGTGCTACGCTGGTAAGACTGTGCTTGGCACGTATGTTTCTTGTGCGTTCTGCTTCAGCGTTTCTCTTGCATTTGCAGCTGTCGAATAGCCGACGACAAATCGCACCGAATTTCCTTTCCGGAGGACAACAAGCAGTGGCCTCTGCAGGTGCGATCCTCGATTTTCTTGAGCAACATTTCATTTCCCTGAGCCGTTTGCACCTGTGGTACAAAAACACACAGATTTTCACATTTTCCACGTACTTCTTCAATCAGTAATTTTATAATTTAACAGCAAACTTAATTTAATTTTAACAGTAAATTTACCTTAATTTTAACAGTAAAATTTGCAATTTCTAAACCTGCTTCTATATTTCAAAGTACATCAAACTTCACCAGATCTCTAAATTCCAAAAAGTTGCAACCACTTCTACAGAAAAGAAAGTTAACAAGAAACCCGCTCACGTGAATCTTTATCATGTCCAATTTCAATTTAACGTCTACAAAATGAACGATCTCAAATTCCTTCATCTATACAATCAATGTAGAAAGCATAACCATGAATATTGATGTATCAGCGAAGTATCGGATCATCGCGAACTTCATTAGCTCTCTTTTTCGTGAAAGTTAATATTAACATTAATTGCCTTATTAGATTATAGCGATATAATAGTTTTTTCCATTTTTAGTTTCAAATCAATAACTTATAGCAGCAAGACCCAAGGAGTGATTGCATTCTTGTAACTTGCAATCTTGTAACTTGCTTAGTTTGTTAATCACACCTAGTTGTCAGAACCTCTTAAACTTAGCAATACTTTTGTTTACAGTATACATATCAAGGTATAGCTTTGTTTTATTACTTTGCATAGTCACTTTGTGTAAACCCTCTTCATACATCATATTTCCATCTTGAATCTCAGCTAAGTGAACAGAAAATCAAACACCAATTTTCCCTCGCTAATGTCACAAAAATTATACGTCCACTCCAATTGTATTTTAACCGGTAAAATACTCAACCGATCCACACATATTCACTTATTAAAATCCCAATAATCGCCGCCATACCTGCATCTGTTCTTGAATCTCGGCCAACAGCCAGGAGGAGCGTTGTCACTCGCAGCGTTCGCCGGAAGCTGTTCGTTCCTTTTAATGGTGGTTGTCCTGGCATGTTTTCCGGGCCAGGCTAATCCCTTGGGATTGGTACGACAGGCAAGACACCTCATGCTGCGACAACACTCGCCGCAACGATCCAAAGATCTTTTCCACCGCGTTAAGAGTCTTTCGGGAGGTCGTTCACCAACGCCGTTCGCTGCTGCCAGCACCCTGTAATCAAACGGTGGCCGCACCCCGTTAAAGTATTATTAAAAACTACTTTACCCGGTTGATCGATCGATCACGCGATAAAGGAGCTTTCAGAGTCGATTAAGAAAAGGAAAAAACGATGAGTCGGTCAAAGAAACGGTAACGAGTTACAGGGTGTTTCAAGGATTTCGTGCAAGATTATTTGGGTCATGATTTAGATCTGTAGAATTGTAGGATTAGTTTGAGGGAGGTAGTAGGTTTTGTAGGTTAGTTGGTCTGGTTAGTTAGGTTATTTGGTTAGGCTGGTTAGGTGGTGCTGGGCTTTTGGATGAGTCAGCCAGTGATGGCAACTGCAATGGACGAATGACGTGCGGTAATAGGAAATAGTGAGTCAGTTTCTTGAACACGATTTGAAGACTTAAGAATTTCTTGTCTTGAAACTTTCAAAATATCAGATTCCTATATTTCTTTATTCATTTCCAAATGGTCTGCCATATTTGAAAATTTCAAATTTTACGACTTTCCACATTTGTCAATTTTTAACCGACTTCGAAAAAAGAGGAGGTTACTCAATTCGATCAGTATATTTTTTTTTTTTAAAGCAACAATAATAATTCCTTGATCAAACACATGGCTGTACAATAATCTCTACGACTCAACGAAGTATTCTCATATTTTTCACAATTTTTAAAACCTTTACTTTCACCATATACACCTGACGCACCAGGTGCGTCCTCACATTCTTAAAAACAATTTCAAATATTTCTCACTTTCATTCACTTACGTACTTCAAAGCAAAAATTCTAAAGCTTCTGGTCTAACAAAAGCTTCGAATAGTCACTGCAATCCAAACTGAAGCTCTAACAAAACGGCAATCAAATACTTTAAAACAACACTGTAATCCAACGAACGAAAATCACACAACTAATGAATCACCAGTCGAGCCTAGCGAAAAGTAGATCGATAACGAGCAATAAATCCGCGGAAGAAAATGTCGCGCACGTCGGAATGTCGCAGATTGTTATCGATCTGAGCAACGTGCACCAAATTCCACGTGTCCGAGGGACCTACCCTTCTTTCCGGTTGTCTTCGCACCTTTCGAGAAGCTTACCTGAAAGCTCGTCGAACGGATCGATCACACAGGATACACGGGGTCGAAATCGAGGAGGATAATCCGAGGAAGCGAACGGATCGATTCGAGAGCGAAGGAGAAGATGAAGAAGTCGTACGATGTGGATGATGACGAGACGAGCATCGCGCCTCGGGCTCGTGTCGCACGATGATTGCAGGTGCCGCAGTACTCGGGGGTTGGACGGACCCCCGAGGACGAAGGGCGGCGAAGAGAGGGTCGGCCTTAACTGCCCGGTCACGCAAAGATTTTCTCCTTCGGTCACCTGCATTACACGTAAGAGACCGCGACTTCCTTCGGTTGACCGCCAAATCGATAAACCTGAGCTGAAGTTCTTTACCTCGCACGCCTACTGGGTTTTGCTACTCGATAACCTTTACGCAATTGTGGACGGTGTTAACTATTATTTTATTTATCGTCTGTTATCGGATATTTACTTTTGTTTGATATTTTTATACCCTGCTTGTTTTTTAGTGGAGGATATTTTGGGAGAAATTTTAAGACTCACCCCTAATCACTCTCTACGTAATTCACTGTGGATGCTCTTATTAACTGGTACTATTTTATTTTTCATTTGTCATTTTTATAGTTTTCTTGTTTTTTAGTGGGGGATGTTTCGGTGGAAATTTTGAGACTCACCCTTAATCACTCTCTACGCATCTCACTGTGGATGCTCTTATTAACTGGTATTATTTTATTTTTCATTTGTCATTTTTATAGTTTTCATGTTTTTAAATGGAGGATGTTTCGGTGGAAATTTTGAGACTCACCCCTAATCACCCTCTACGCATTTCACTGTGGATGCTCTTATTAATTGGTATTATTTTATTTTTCATTTGTCATTTTTATAGTTTTCTTACTTTCAGTGGAGGACTTTGTCAATTTCGGTGAAAATTTTGAAACTCGCCCCTATTTTATAATTTTTTAACTCTACATATTTCACTGTGAAGGTTGTTATTAACTATTATTTTATTTATCCTTTGTCATTTTTATATTTTTCGGTGGAGGATTTTGTCAGTTTCAGTGAATGTAGAAATCCGTGACGAACGTTTCAATGGCACGAACTTTTTAATTGCGTTCACTTTGACCGGCTGAGCGGATTACCCTTGCGAAATGTGCGTGCGAATGTCGTTTCACTCGTGAGACCCTGAAGAACGAAGATACGTGAACGAAATCGAACTTTCTCCTTCAGCACGCTTGCTTCAAACAATTATAGAAATTTTCTACGGAATTTCCTTGCCCTTTGAGAAAAACTCTTACTGTTTCTTCGACGAAACGGTGTAAATATTGTAATAACATCAAAATTACTATCGACCTTTTCTTAACAAAGGAACTGTATGTAGTTAGTGTTAGTGTATATAGTTCTTTAGTATGGTTCTTTACAAAATAACATTTCATTCCTTTTTGTAAGATCTTACGAAATTTTAATTTCAGTTTCAGAATTAAACGCTTTGAATTTAAGTTTGATTAGGTACTTCAATTTTTGTCTCCGCCATTTTGTGTGGTTGTCGTCCATTTTGTCCAACTTCAAATCTTCAGATTCAAAGCCTTTTACTAATATTATTTTATAAGTAGGAAACTTACTTGCAAATTTTCGTTTAAAATTAATTTAAAAAACATCTCATACATCAACAATTATAAATATTTATTTATTTCCTAAAGTCGTCATTTAAAAAATTCAACAATTTCTTAAATTCCATATGTGTTAAATAAGAAAAGATAAGAATGAAACTAAATAATCGAACCAACCCATAATCAAAATAGTTATATCAGATAAAAATCTAGTTTATACCTCACGAAATCGTTGAAGATATACATTTTCCCTAAAGAACGATATTTTTACGATCAATAACCCGATTTACGATTCTCGGAAAAAACAGGAGGAATTTGTAGGTTGTAAAAGATAAGGGAGTTTCGAAAAATATTATATAGCCGTGACGTAAGAGAACGTATCATTATGCGACCAAAGAATTATGCGAAACGTGGTGTAACGATGTCCAACGCGTGTTAATATGTATATTGCCCTCCATCACGTGGCGCCATGGAAATTGCGGTACTAACGCGTTTACGACATCGATTTTCCAGATATTTGGACACTGCAAAGATACTGTTTCAACCTGAATAAATATCTGAATAATTAATTATCCGTGGCTGTATAAATAATCAGCGAATAACGGAGAATCGAGATAACTGCGTGGGACAATTGTGTGGACGAAAGCTGAACAAATATTGTTGTATTGTTTTAAATGGTCCTTTTGATTACTTAATCGATGGTATTTTTATTCGTTTCGACACTGTTTTAAACAGAGTAGATTTTATAATTCTGTAGGATTATAATTTACAGATATTTTCATGTATTGATAAATTTATAAATTACGTGTGATGTGAAATTACAAAATTATTTATTTATGCGCAGATACTTTATTTTGCAAATTTAAATTGTGTCAATGCAAATGATCTGCTCATTAACATCGAAATTATTTAAATTATTTCTCATTCTTTATGGACAATTTTTCATTTCAAATTTACCTTTTTCATTTTAATATTCTGTGTACAATTTTTCTTTAAATTTTGAAGCACTTATTTTTATTTGTTTATTTATGATTGCAAAAACCGAATTGTTAAGCTAAGGGAAAGTTTTGTTAGAATTCTTTTTACTTGAACAAAAGCATTGCTTAATTTTGAAGCACTTGTTTTTATTTGTTTATTTATGATTGCAAAAATCGAATTGTTAAGATAAAGTTTTGTTAAAGTTCTTTCTACTTGAACAAAAGCATCGCTTAAAATTGTCGTAATTTAATCGAAGACTTCCTGTTTCAAGCAATGGTATTCGCAACTCTTACCGAAGTTATCAAGCAGCTTATTATACATTAAGATTAGAGAAGAATAAAGAAGAAACTTGAGGCTGAAAAAAGAGATGGAAGAGCGCATTTTAATGAAGAACTTATAAATATTAATTGAGGTTGTATAATTTTTCTCTGCCGGAGGGATGGAAATTACAGATAAATGAAGTGGGGAGAAAATATAATTACTTTTAGGTAAAACTTCGATTCGAATTTCAGAGAAAATTGTGTAAAATTTTAATCTAAAACTTCAATTCCTCTAATTTTAAAGAAAATAATTAATCATAAAATTGTGTAAAATTTTAATTGATAAAGTTTGTTAAATAAATGCAAGATAAAAAATCCAAAATTAAAAGAAACGTGTTCAATAAAAGTGGCAGATACAAATTTCAATTAGCAATTAACGAGTTGATTGGCAATCAGCGTCGTTAAAAATTCAGTTTAATTAAAGGAGAGCGAAATGTTTCGAGTACTAAAATCAGTGATATAAAATATGAAAAAGAAATATAAAATTACAAAATTATATACGTCGATTCGTAATAACTATTATTATAGTATGTCTGACCATATAAGTCCACTTTCACTGAGGCACTCAACGAGTTACAGCTTCAAAAGTTTCTTTCCTCAATTATTATTTAATTCTAGTAAATTGATATTGATTTACTGATTTATTGTTTCGCTGCTAACCTACATTGTTAATAATAATAATTAGGGTATTGTAACTTCCGTTATGGTGTTTTTTAGATATATTTTAAAAAACGTAACCTTTTTTAGGTTATGCAGCCATTGCGGTTATAAATACTTTGACTCTTAAATATTAAATTCTGTATTTTATATTAAATTCTGCTGACTTTCGCTGTTAAAAAATTGCTATTTTTTGAACTGCTGAAATTTTAGTACTTGTTTAATTTTTTATTAACAGCTGTGTAGATTGAAATATTGAAAGCTATTTTACCGATTCTTCAGCTACGCCCGCACAAAATTGTTTCACAGACGACGCTGTAGGACGCGTGTTTGCGGTTGTTGGTTCACGTTAAACAAAACCATTA